CAGAGAAATTTCAATGAAGATCCTTTAGCTTGATGGGATAAAAATGAACTCAAAGCATCCTTAAAGGTTAAAGCAGGAAAAGAGCATGAATTTGTGAGATACAAGCCCATCCTTATGAATCAAGCAGATCGTGAGGATATGCAAATAATACTTAAGGAACACTTGGACCTTAAGTTAATTAAAGGAGTTTCACCATATAGCAGTCCTGGATTTCTTGTTCGAAACCATGGAGAAATAAAAAGAGGAAAAGCAAGGTTGGTTATTAATTACAAAGGTATTAATAACATCTTAGAATTTGATGGATATTACATCCCGAGCAGAGAACATTTGGTGAATTGTATCAAGAACGCCAAGGTATTTTCAAAGTTCGACTGTAAATCAGGATTCTACCAAATCAAGATGGAGGAAGAAAGTAAGAAGTTTACAGCTTTCTCTACACCACAAGTGCATTACGTATGGAATGTGATGCCAATGGGGTTAGCAAATGCACCCCAGATTTACCAAAGAAAGATGGATAATCTTTTTAAAGATTATTTTAGTTTTATGTTCGTATATATTGATGATATTCTAATCGCCTCAAAGAACATGAAAGACCATCTCAAACACCTGGAAATATTTTTAGATGTTTGCCACAAGGAGGGATTGGTGCTTTCAGAAAAGAAGGCAGTAATCGCTACAAGACAAATTGAATTCATTGGAATCGAGATCGATGAATCGGGAATCATTTTGCAAAACCATATTGTTGAAAGAAATACAAGGATTCACAGATGTCCTCAAAGATAAAAACACAATTACAAATCTTTCTCGGAGTTGTTAATTTTGCAGGAATGTTCATAAACAATCTGGCACAATACCGAAATGTTTTCAGTCCACTCCTGAAGAAAGATGCAGATTTTAGATGGACAAATGAACACGAGGAAGGAATTAAACAATTAAAGAAAGTTTGCCAAAAACTTCCAAAGCTGGCAAATCCCAAATGACGAGGATGAGCTAGTTCTCTATACAGATGCTAGTGATCATTGGTGGGCAGCGGTTCTCACCAAAGCAACTCCGAATGGAGCAGTTCCATGTCGATATTGCAGTGGACTCTTTACAACCAGTGAAGCAAACCGATGGCATATTAACGAAAAAGAATTCTTTGCAGTCAGAAAGGCATTCAAAAAATTACCTTTGTTTTTGTTATAAAAAAAGTTCACTTTAAAAATTGATAACTCAAGTGTTAAGGCTTTTCTGAAAACAAAATTGAATCAAAACCAGAAAAGCCTAGATTATTACGATGGCAAGCTGAATGTCAATATTATGATTATGATATTGTCATTATTAAATTGGGTAAATTGCGTCAAACCCCCCTGTATTATACGAAATCTGCGCCTTATCTCCTTGTATTTTAAAAAATGCGCCATACTCCATTGTATTATACTTTTGATTGCGCACGCTCCCCCCTCATCGTTTCCGTGTTAACCCCGTTAATTTTTTGCTTAACTTCCCGTTATGCCCTCAGAAACAAACAATTACAGTAAGTAAATGGAGAAAAAATGGACATCCCGTACAGATGGCGGACACACTATTTTTTTTTTAATTGTATCTCAGATCTAGCTTGAAAAGATATGATTTTTATTCATTTGTTACCAATTTATTTGTCAATTCATATGAATGGATTGTGTTTACAGAAATTTGGAATCAACTTGATCCACTGTGCCCTGATGAACCGGATCTGTTTCATACAAAAAGGTAATTAATTTGTATATATGATTTTTTCTAAGGATCTGATTGATACAGAAGATTAATAATTTGTGTATCCCAGGATCTGTTTGATACAAAGGTTTATTAATTTGTATAATTTTTCCAAATTTTTGTTGTCCAAGTTTTTGTTTTTATTTTTTATTTTAATTATCAGATCTGATGCTTTCTATTTGAAAGATTCAATCTTTGATTGATATGTTAGCCTGCAATTGATTGTTTCTGTACGGACATTAATGACAGACGCACATATAAAAAAAAAAATCGCAGCTTTGACCGCAGGCGACAACTCCGACGAGAATATGCCGGTCTGTGGCGGCGATGGCTTGTCGGAGGTCGAACACGACGGCTACCTGCGATGGGCGAGCAAGCTGCGTGAAATAGGATTTTGAATTTGATGTTGCAGAACCTTGATTTGAAAATTTGATTAAAGTGAGGGGCTGCTTTGCAATTTTCAGAAGTTTAAATTAATTGCAATTTGATTCAGGTATTAAGGGGCAAAATAGTCATTTCCCTGAGTTTATGGCGAAAAAATGGAGAAAAAGTCGCACCACACGCGCGTGAAATGCACATCCGTCAAGTTAGACGGTTTAGGGGATAACGCGCAATCAAAAAAGTATAATACAAGGGGGTATGACGCATTTTTTAAAATACAAGGGGATAAGGCGCAGATTTCGTATAATACAGGGGGGTTTGGCGCAATTTACCCTTATTAAATCTCATGAAAATGTTCTTGCAGATTTCTTAACAAGAGATGGATGTATCTGAAGCAGATGCACTCCTCAAAAGGATAAGACACCTTCGCGAAAACATCGAGGAGGTGGACAAAAGTTTTGGCCAGTTAAGGCTTAATGCCATAATAGCTGGACAAGTTCAAAAGGCCGACTTAGATAAGGTCGAATCAGCAATCAAAGGTACAAGGATGGCTAACACCTTATTATGGGATGCCTTCCAAGAACCTTTACGCAAAGCTGGATCACCATCGGTGAGCCATAAAGAATTCCGAGAGCAAGAGGTTTCAAAGAAAACTCAAAACGAGGACCAGGAACCTTTACCTGGTGCAGCGGACGCTGCTTATGAAAGTATTTCTTCAAATTCTGGAGAAAAAAGAGAAAGAGACACAAGACCAAAGGTCTAAAGTCTCGAGTCAACCCGACACCTCTGGGGTAAAAGAGGAAGATATCAACCTACGGCCATAGACAAGTCGAGAAAAGGTTGATACTAACAAAAACATTGGTTCTCCTACTTCTTTTCAGGTTTACAATTCACTGATGGAGGACTTAATTACAAAAGGAAATATTAAGCCAGAAAAGTTTATTGTTGACGATACTGGTTTATATCCCCGAGTTTGGGTACTGGAAGGAGCTCGACCAGACCCTGTAAGAAAATGGATGGACTTTGGTTCAATAGCTTCAATTTTTACTGAGGCGCCGAATTTTCCTGAGATTTCAGGATTACCCGAATGGATTACTAAAGTCGTATATGAATCATGGTCTTATAATCCTCATCTGAAAAGAGGAGAAGTTTTGGAGCTAAAATTTATCTCTATTGTCCCAGAACCTGCAAGTGATTATGGAAGGCATGCCGCCTTTCATTTCATTAAGTTGCAACGCCCTAACAAAAAGGCGCTACTTCATATCGGTACTACCAAGGAAACGCCTCTGTACACAGCAATGACGGAGGACGAGATTTCCACACGACGAGCCTACGGAGTGTGGGTATGTCTTACCGAAATGGAAAAGGTAAAATATCCGTTTAAAATATATCAAAATTCACCAAAAGGATCATTTTTACTTAATTCCTTGACGGGAAGCACCTCCAAGTTTGCAAACGACTTGTTCAAGAATAAAAGAAAATTCTTATGGGAAAACAAGTTGGCAGCCACAGAGAATACACGAAGAAAGGCGTGTAACATGTTGCACGGTCTTAGATGGCACGAAAATATTTGTCCATGTTGTGCAATTCAAGAGAAACCACTGTTCGGAAAATTATTTCCGATGAAACGGGAAAGACTCGGCCAGAAAAACAAACCGGAGAAAAAGGGAGTTCCAAAAAACCGGAATTTCAAAAGTTCAAAAGAAGACGAGTCTGATTAAGATTTATCAGACAGGGAGGCCCACCAGCAAATTAATGGCGGGACAAGGGAAAAGGAAAGATTCCTTCACCAAATGCAAAGACAAGTTTTTCCGAGTCAGCTCCACATACACCATGTGACCGACAGAGAAAAAGTGGGTTCAATAATTCTTCAATCCGGACCCATCAACATGTGAAGACCACAAGACATTTAACTACCGATTGGTACAAGCAATAATAGAGGACTCCAAGACCCTTATAAATACAAGATTTGGAGGAAACAGAAGGCATCGAACATCCTCTTCAGTTTTCTCATCAAAATAAAATTCTCTGTAATAATAGTGTGTGAGCTTGTGTGTCTTTTAATTTTCCTTGTAATTTTTATGTGTGTACGAGTGTTTGCCTCTATTATGAGAGACTAAAAGGTTTTCTCCTCCCTTAAGTATCTGTACGCCTGGAGTAGGAAACGAACCAAGGCTGTGCTGAGTGGTATCTGAAGGAGTCGGATAACTTGTAGTTCATCTTCCCATTGGTGAAGTTAGACGGTGGGGAGCCGTCCGTGAAAGGAACTAGGGGCACAAATTTTCCGACTAGTGGAATTGCAACCCATCTCACCTGGAACCATTTTGGTAAAAAAAAAGTACGAAAATTATGGAGTTATTTAATTTTACGGAAGCATGTTGGGCCTGGTATTGTTCATTTTATTGTGGGAACTCTTTAAGTGAAAAATTTAGGTACAAAAGCTTGGTACAACGTATTAATAAAGTTGGTACTATTCTCTTATTGAAGTGGTACGATTCCAAAATAAACTGGTACTAATTTTCTGGACTTGAATAAAGATAGGGGTATTGTAGGAATACTAAGAGGGTTATTATTTTATTGCAAGTGAGAGGGAGTAAAATGGAAGAAAATTAGAAAAAGAGACTGAACTAAAAATTGAAAAGGGGTTTAAGTACTTTGATAGAATTTGCCCTTTAGCTAAACATGTACCTAAACATGTCTACGTGTACCCTCCAACTCTCACCCAATGGCAATTAGCTATCTTTACAAGTATTGCACATTTTCCACGTGCTTCTCACCACCGGCGTGCCCCGCACGTGCCTTGCCCTTTAAATCACCCTCCGATTGCCGCCGTCTTCCCACGGCCACATCTCTAGAACATCATCCGCCGCCGCCGCTGCTCAACCATGGCCGTCTCCGCCGGAAATTCGTATCTGCCGCCGGATGCGTCGCCTTTCGAGCTCAAAACCGAGGCTGATTTCGACCGAATCGTCTCCCCCGATGGACTGATTTCGGTCTGCGGCTTCGGTTCTCTTCTCTCCGGTTCGTGCAATCGGCCAGCTTGTTTATTGTTCATTCCAACCCTTAATTTCCCCCTTTTTTATTTTACGATTTAATGTCGAGGAATTGATAATGCTGCTCGAAAAAGTAGCTTTCCTTTCCTTTGGAAAACTTGCTTGAGGTGAATTTTTGGGGAGATGCTTTTTTTTTTTTT